CTACTGGCATCCAGGGAATCCATCGCGAGAATGGCGGCGATTCCACTTTGAGAACCGATCGACAGACCTCGAACGTACGTATTAAACAGCGGAGTAAGCAATCTTCCGAACACGACATTGCCCGGAATGCGGATCATTGGAACGGGATGATGTCCAGATAGCACCGTTATTATAACCTGTGAAGATTGCGATCTGAAATTCTGTTCCGATTTTCAAGTACACGATTGACCCGAGAAACAGGCGTATCGTCTCATCGACTCGATCATCCGCAGCCACTAAAACGATCGTTAGGCCTTTCATCTTTACGACAATTATCATCTTTCCGATGTTGATTAATAATTGTTTTATTAACCATTCGTTATTCCATGATATATTTTCGTATGTTATATAGAAGATGGCTAGATAGATAGAAGAAGTATCGGATCTTTGAAATCCTGATTTGCATGTATGCAGGTACGTTGCATGTAATATTGAATTCGCTTTGAATTGCTTGATTAGAGCTACAAGGTGATCTTGAAATTAGCTCTGTCACTATGCGCGTACGTTGTACAAGCACGCTGCAGACTATAAATCGTTAAAACTTATAATTATATAAAACGACACAGATAACGATATGTTTCCTGTTTTAAAATCTACCATACGAGAAATAAATACGTACGAAGTATCGAGAACAAAAGTGGGCTAACCGTAATACTCAATAAACCGAATAATTTAGTATCTGAAATAAACGTGAGCACAAAATATTGACAACCGGTTTCGTTATCTACGCGTGATTTGGAAAACGTGAATTTCTCCACTTTCGTACAATTAATACAGCTTACTGGAATAAATCAAACCCGTAAACTCGCATTAGTTCATTTTTTGCTCTCGATATCTTATATTAACCAGGAACTAAATAACTATACGCACACTGCGCATAAGACAGCCCGTTTTAAAGATCTGCAGCGGTTTCTCATTTTAATCAACATCGAGAAGGTTAAATGTATCCTAATACGTTTCCACCGTCCGTGTTATAACGTTCGATGATACTCGCGTAAAGTGAATAAATTTTATGAAAAAAAAAAAAACAACTGGGGATGAAATTGAGACGGGGACACACGAGCGGGTAGCGATGCAAATTGATACAGTTGGGAGCAATGGTCGTTAGAAGTGTACACAATATGGGGTGCACCTTTAACGGCGGCTGCGTACACCCACGCAGTGTGTATATCCGACGATACGACTCGGCTGGAACCAGCGGCTGAGAGCAATTCCGGGAGAAGAAGAGGAGGCGTGAGTTTACGATAAGATACACACGTGCGACTGGCTCCCTCCGGTTTCGCCGCAACGGGCTAATCGAATCGTGACTTATTGTCAAGCTAAGTCTATATTCAAATACGCGCAGAGGTCACGTTCGTTAGAACTTTACGGTTAACGTTTGAATGTCGGTTCGATTTTACTCGGAAGATCGACCATAGAATAATGTTCAATGCTTTCGACGATTGATATATTATCAACAAAGATCTCGATGTGCATTGCAAGCGTAAGGTATATCGCTTGTTGTTACGATCAAATTGACACTATTGAAAATTGAGTGGATCGTATAGTTGATTTCTGATTCGCGACGCGTGCGTCGACACCAGGCAGTTGTAAGTGAAATATCGGCTTTAACGCGATATCATCTGGCATTCGTTCCGGGATTGATTTTTCTCTCTAACAAGCAACGCCTTGCCACCCTTAACGACGTATATTTAACTGATAACGAGAAATACGCCGTGAATCTGTGGAACCAGTTACGCTAAAGCTCTTGATTTATGATGGAAAAGCAAAGCAAGAGGCGGTTTCAATTAATCACTTATTCTGATCGAGGAGTACGAAAGCGGGTCTCGGGGTGCGAGATGCGCATCATCGAACGGTACACGTGTGCTCTCGCTGACCAATGCGCTAAGACGTGTGTTCGTTCACGCGTGACTGACGTGCGAATTGCACGAACGATCGTATCGAATCGCCGTGACAGCTCGCGTCTGAACACACGCGTCGGTGCTGCGCTTCGATGTACACGCACGCACGGGCAATTAACGCGCGTTAATTATCCCCGTGGTGGTCCTCCGGCTCTTTGTCGGCGCGTTCAATAACGCGTCGATTCTAAATTCGTTTGTCGTATATAAGCTGTACAGCGAAAAATCCGAGACAGGGTCTCATTTCGAAAATGCGATCCATCATGTGGCTGAATTTGATGCATCGGACTTGTTTAACCTTTCATCGAATAATACGTCGTGAAACAAATCGATTGAGATGGATGCTACGGATAATCTTCGGGTTACACGTGTTCTGTGAACATGGAAACAATCTTCATAGAACGTATAAATCGCAAAATTGCGTCAGCGTATAACGTGTTATCTATAAAAGATAATTTAGAAAAAATTTGACGATGGGAACTTTTGTGCAATATGAAATTTTAAATGAAATTATCGGAAGAATCTTCGAGATATAATTTTGTTATATTTACGATCTATTGTCTAAGCATAATATTTACGTTTATTTAAAATCGATTATAACGTTACTTCGTACGAGCGCCGAACATATACCGAAGATAATAAGATGTTTTATCGCGTTTCGGAATAAGTTACGACTGCTTTCTGTTCGTGCAACCGCTTGATAAGTTTGATCACACGATAATCTTTTATAAAATGAATGAAATATTCAGGTTTATAAATTTTGCCTCTAAAACTTTGTCGCGTAAAATCTTGAAATCCGACCTTCGATATTTTTCTCAGCATTCACGTCCTTACATTTTTCAATTTTTACGCGCATGCAAAGTTCGTTAAAGCACATCTCATCGATTATCCAAATTTCGGGTCGAATGGTGTTTGCGTTCCGCGATATAACAGATAAATCAGTTTTAATCGACACTCCCCTTTACGTTTACACGAAATCCAACGATAATGAAGCTCGCGCGAAATTTATTAACCGGCGGGGGTCTGGCCTCGTAAAAAGTTCGAAAGATCCGCACGCCTTCGGGGTGAGTTCGCAAGGTATGGAATCGCGAAGGAAGTCGTAAGCTGGGACGTTTAATTGCGCAATAAATCCTGATTCTCCGATTTGCAACCCATTTCCTACTGCGGGGGCGACGATTGGTCGCTGTTAAATTGGCGCGTAGGTGCAATGGTAGGTACCTACGTATCCATGTAGGTACGCCGACTGTGAAAGTCGGAAGAGCCTCGATTCTCCCTTTTCCTCTCTTTCTCTCTTTGCAATCTCTCTATCACACCCTCGGGCGTGAAACGGCATACGACCTTTCTTCAATCGCGATCTCTACTCTCTTTGTTGACTCCACAGCCTCGCGGTGACAGACTTCTTCAAACATCGACGTACTTTTTCATACTTACGATCGGCTGGAAGAAAATGCGCGTAATCATTTTCACCAGAGATGGCTCCGGCTTCGATCTTTAAATCCGAGAAACTGGAATTCGGAATCTTACGAGATCTTGAAATTCGGCACCGCCGAAATCCGGAATTATTCGCTTTCTTCATTTTTTCCCGAAGAGTATCCATCGTGTCAGCAACTAAGTTCTTGGCAAATTTCCTTCAGAAAATCGAGAAATTAAATTTCTATGTTTCGTTTCTTCGCGGTATAAACGATCGTAAAGAATCGGTGAAAACTCGTATCATTTAAGCTGAATTTACAGTCTAAGTGAAAACTCGGTTGGATTATTATCGATTGGGGAGAATAAATTCGTTTTATGGAAATTATTATTTCCCTAATAAGTTTCCGATTACAAAAGTAATCTGTCGTAGACTCGAGTTTCGAGTCATTTTTATTTAAAGACGAAATAAACGGCGAAGAGTGTACGCACGACATTGATGCAATGCCATCTTCATTACACGTACCGACGTGACGTATTTCAAAATCGAAACAATACGCGATTTTATTAATGCATCGTGCTGTTGCTGGTGAATGACAGCGACGCGTTACTTGAATTCTGATTGAAATTAAGTCATCCAGTTTACATATCAATTATCTCATTGCATCCTCAACTCATTTTTTTATTCTTCGTTTGTTTCTTCATATCAAGTGAACACAACGGCAAAATAATCAGCACAATTAGACCTAAGTACAATTAAACTTTAAACTGTAAATTGCTGCGGTATATTCTGGTTATCTCGGCATGAAGGAAACTACGCGTTCAATTAAAATACAGTTATCTCGTGTTATAACGATTAATATGTTCCATGTGTTCCATAGTGTTGAAACGTTTGATTAAACCTTTATAAATAAAGTTCCCTTTGCTTACGAAAGTAAACGCTTTCGATTGACTAGAATTTTTCTAACAACTGATAGCTGCTATAGAAAACGTTTGGCGCTGGTAAAATAGTAGACAGCAATGATACATGTATACATTAAAAATGAAAAAAAGAAAACATAGGTACAAGAGTACATACATACCCATACATAAATTTTTCTAACAACCGATAGCTGCTATAGAAAATATTTGGGGCTGGCAAAATAGTAAACAGCAACGATAGTGACTGCATACAGTAAAAATAAAAAAAAAAACATAGGTACAAGAGTACATACATTACTTCTTTCATACATAAATTTTTCTAACAACTGATAGCTGCTGCAGAAAATGTTTGGCGCTGGTAAAATAGTAGACAGCAATGATACATGTATACATTAAAAATGAAAAAAAGAAAACATAAGTACAAGAGTACATACATACTCATACATAAATTTTTCTAACAACTGATAGCTGCTATAGAAAATGTTTGGGGCTGGCAAAATAGTAAACAGTAACGATAGTGACTGCATACAGTAAAAATAAAAAAAAAAGAAAACACAGGTACAGGAGTATATACATAACTTTCAAAGCATCACGGTTAAAATGTATAATATAGAAAGATAGAACAATAGGAATTATCGAGATATCGTTACAGAATTTGATATACAACAATGTCAACGAAATCACTATGCAATATGATATAATTTCCTGACATTAGCAATTTTGTTTCTGTTACAGATCCGGTGTCACAGACGATTACCTTGACGACCCTTGCATTCTTCCTGAGTTCGGGCCTGAATACGGTTTCAGGTGCACCCATTTACGACCCCCGCACCGCCGTATCCAACACGAATAATATGGACCGGTGGTTACAACCTTGCGGTAATCCAGTGGCGATGCAATTCAAAAAAATGCCACAGAGGCACAGCGTTCATAGAACGTTGAAGAGGGTGCGGACGCAGCTTCGAGTTGCCCATGATCATTACAAAACGCGTCGGAAGGATGTGCATAAGGTGTACTCGAAGGTAAAGCATGACGTTCGACCTGACCGCGATTCGTAATTAATCGCTGAACCGCGTCGCGTCGGGGTAAAGGAGAGTGGGCGGCTCTTTCAGAGAGACTCGCACGTGCGCACGAGTTGTGCTAGTGCTAAAGTCCTACTTTCTGTTCTGCTTGTAATTTACATTTGTTACGATGTGCCACGCACGAGCGTAATTGCATTTTTCAAGGAACAATATCGCCCGAAGCGAGCCTCCTGTCGCGATTAATAGCGTTATAGTCTATTTGTCAAATCGTTCCATTTGGGAATTAACACACAAATAGCGTTAAACTTATATCGACCGGAGAAAGTACTTGAACTATAGAAAATTTTTATGTTCATGCCTTGAGCACGTGATATTTAAAATACTTTGAAAACTTAGAGTCTGAGTCAGTAGAGACTATTTCCATGATTAGAGATATACCAATTTCTCCAAATAAAGATGACTTCCGTTTAGAGAAGAAGAGAGAGCATGAAATAACAAGCACAGAGTTTCTTTTCTACATCTTGATAGTACTTGTAATATATTTAATCATTACATTCATTTTTACATTCATTTATCTACGGACGAAGAAAATATGACGTACTTATAAAAAGTTCGAAACTAAATAGAATTGTTTTCGCAACAGAAAGATCGTACGCTAAACTGGCAAAATTATTCGTACGGTACGATATAAAAGTTCAGCAAACTGCTTGGGAAGAATTCTGCACTCTCTTAGTTCCACGAAGAATGACGCGGTGTGCACTTGTGTAGTTTCAAAGAAATCGAGCGCACAAATTGTAGCGTCGAATATGTACATGAAAAATATTTAGACAAAACAATATCTCAACTTTCATTCGCAGGTGTACAAAGAGCTGAAGGAGCAGTACAACATGCCATGGCTGCCGGAGAAGGAATACGAGTGGTATAGCAAGACGGTTTTGTGTCTCGAAAAGGGAAAGAAAGCTGAGCGTGCGCTTCCACACCTTTACGATTCGCTACAAAGGTTCGCCATCACGTTCGATCATCTCAGAGCTTTCCACCTGAAATCTAATATTAACGATGGATCCAAAATGATGGACACCAGAAACGAGATCATTAATCAAATGTACAATGAGATCCTCAGGGTACGGAAACTTTGTATCATACTACGATGTAAATACTATAAAATACGATGAACGATTCATTTGTTTTTGTAGATAATATTTAAATTCTTAAAATTAAAAATTTTAATTCTGCAAATGTAATGTTTAAAAATAGGATGTTTCGAAGATTGATGTTTAAGATAAAGCATTGTTCATCTTGCTTCTTGCTATAAAATTCTTACTACAGACCGAATGGATCGTTCGATAAGTTCGAAACGTGTTCGGTTATTATTTTATTTTTGATGGAAGTATACAAGATATAATCACAAAATGGACATTTCCGGAAAAGAAACATCCGATATCGATTAATTACAAAGACTTCGTTTTTTCAACAAGATAACGTCGGACCGGTATCGGCAAAAAAAAAAAAACAGATAAAGTATGTTGTATCTTAATAGAAATGTTCGATTCTGGATATTTTGGATATTTTGTCTTTACGTTTCTGAAACTGATTCGATTACTAGAAATTAAATATTCTAAGCACTTGAAGAAACTTATTAGGCAAAATAACTGAGAATGTTTCTCAGAAAAGATGTCATGAAGCCATCGAACGAAATTAAATCTTTTCAATAACATAATGCACTCTTCTTAATTTTTGCTACGAACTTCCCAAACGATTCGATATTATTATGACTAAATTTGCTGTATACTGCGATCCTTCGTTTCATTATCTTTAATATATATCACCATCAATAAACACGTCAATTTTGCATTTTTTATTCCAGGTATCATGCGAAGTGGAGACTGCGATCTTAAACTTAGGGTTGCAAGTTCCCGAAGCGCATACGGCGAAAATTGTGACGGAAAGTTCGTATTGGGCGGAGGAAGGCGACTCAACATCGATGTTAATACAAGATTGGGGCGTGATCAGATTATATCAGACGTTTCTAGACGCCTGGACGGCGGCCTTCCGTAACGCGACCGAACGTGGTCCAGGCACTTGCGATCCTAATAGGCCGAATCCAGGAGCTAAGAACATAAAAAAAGGATCTAGGCCAAAGGGTAAAGGGATATCGAAAATTAAGAAGCAAAAAAGGCCAGTTAGGAAGCATCCAAAGGGCGCTGGCCAAAATAGTTCCTTGCCTCAGGGACCAAAAAAGGGTATTCCGAGGAACAAACTGATGAGAAACAAACAAAAGAAGCTCGCGGGAATGTGATGAAATTCGTCTCACAAGGTTTCTCTTCGTTTTTACGAGATCTACTCTATCGATTATTTTAAAAGGACGTTTAACAGGTAACTTCTTTCACCTTGTGGCAAAGAACTCTCTCTATTATTGTGACTGGAACACATATTCATCGCGTTACATTTTTTCTTTGTTTTTTTTTTTTTTATATTTTCACACAAGTATTAATTTAAATGGCATTTAAGATAATTGTGTATAGAAAACGCGTAAATATTCCTTAGTTCCTTTAGTTCTCTTTTTTATTATTTTTTTTATTTGGCGCTAACCTTGCCAGGTCCGATCAAATGACCCGTTTCAAAATTTAATTAAAAATTGTACGTTCATTGTTATTTCTTTTGTTCATCTAACTTTATGCAAATTCCTATATTATCCGATTAATCAAATTCTCAATTTTTGTTAATACAAGAATTTACATAAGATTAGACGAATAAAAGAAATAACGATGAGTGCACAATTTTTAATTAAATTTTGAAACCGGTCATTTGATCGGACCTGATAAGATCAGTGTTTTAAGCACTTAGTATTTATGATCGCGTAAAAATTGATTTGCCTGTCAATCTTCCACGAAGATGTATGGGGTGTATCGTAATTGGTGGTACGATTGACAACGAGACGATTCTACGTAAAGATATAAGTAGATATAAGATACGTACATACGGGAACAATTTTCCATACGAGATTTTGATTTTCAGAATATTGATCTCTGATATTTGTCTGTGTTTACATTTATTTTATCGGGTAGGATAAAAAACAATGGATAATTTTATTACTTCGGGAATTGTTGAACATAATCTTCAGTTCCTTGAGTATACAGTTTTACTTTCCGGGCTAAATTTTTATTAAATAAAATATGAAGTAAATGCTACTTTACGAAAGAATAAAAAGAACTCGTACGAAACAATTGTATTCTACGTTCTCGGCTTATCTTCTCATATAAAATTACTTTGATACTTGCGAATAGTACCCTCAGTTACGGGACGCCCAGTATTTTCACCTTCTTCGAATTTACATTCATATATTCTATATCTTATTTATTTTATCGTTACGATCATTCAATAGATGCTTACTATTTTACGATCTTGCCAGTTTGTTCCGATGGTGTAGCGTTAAGAGTTTCGCGATAGAATTAGACGAGAATAACAATCATATTACAAAAAGAAAAAAAAAAAGAAAATCGCCATTTTGTTTTCGATAACTGGTGCATTTGACAGTACTATGAAATTGTTATTGAAAATCAAGCTGTATACTAGAGACCAGTATTACGAAGTGTACTTCAGAACAGTATTATGATAAATAACATACTTAAATAACTAGAATAGCGAATAACATTGATAAAAGAAAAAGTTCGATTTCTAAGAGATGGTCGAATTAAAAAATGATCGTCGCTGCGAATGAACGCGCCTGAAATTTCTAACTATATTGCGTGTACGGAAAGACAAAATAGTAGAAAATTAGCATTATCAAGATGTAATAGATGCGTGGAAAATGCGACGAGAGTTGATTAAAAATTAGAAAAATCCAAATTATCGTTTCAATAGTTAGCTTGTTCGCTATGAAAAATATTTGCAGAACTTGTTGTAACTCTTCGCATTGCACGCAATGCGCGCATATTCTAACATGATAATTTGATACTTGACCAATCGTGGCTGATTACGAATATAGTAGAACTTCGTTTATTTGAATTTTCAATCATTACGTATAATGATACGGAATTAACAAATAATTTTTACACAATATTCGTTTATATATCGTATTACTTTACGCATGAAAATTGCAAGAGAGAAAAACGTAATAAGTAATTTTCCATGTTTTGCGAACGAACAATACGAAAGTCAACGTGTGACCCGACAATTTTATATTACTTACCGATTTCTCTATTTTTAATTTGGTTCTAATGTTAAAGATGCGCGTGTATATCATTGCCATTGAATTGTTTGTCCTTCAATGAGTCCAGATAAACGAAGTTCTACAGCACGTGTTTACAGACGAGACTCGATAGTATCGAGATTTCGAAACGCGTGTGTGAAATTAACAGGTCGTGACAGTAATCGATTTAATATCGAACAGAACAGTTCGTGTAAAACTTATTTATTGTAGCTTTAACGTAAGCAGACGAAAGCTTAATGTCGTTTAGCTGTGATATCTTGAGCGTACGCGGACGTACAGAGTTCCTACGTTTTATACATAGGCGCATTATACTATATTTTTAAGTAACGTGCGTTTACGCGTACAATACGTATTTAGATGTAATACCATTACTTCTTTTTATTTTTATTTTATTTTTTTTCTCTCCAGTCCGTAGAATCTCGTCTTGTCGCGAACATGACAAACTTTATCTTACCCGATACTTTGCTTCTTACTTGCTTTCGAATGGAAGAATTTAGCGATACGTATAGAGCGGAATACTTTTAACGATGCAATTTTCGTTCCCTTAATTTCCATTCTATTTTGGGCCAGACGAAATAATTCATTGTGTCCTTAAAAATGACACGAATAACAAGGGACCAATATTATAATTTGGATTTATAAGAATTATTCGTAGAGAGACGTCGAAGATGCGCGCGCGAATGGCGCGAGAACAATGGGTTTATCTGCGTTAAAACGAAAATATATTTACATTATAGACAATCAATGTTTTGTATCGAACCGGTACTTAGGTATTATATATGTATTTTAACGTTAGATATTTTTGTACTTAATATTAAAATTTTTCATACGACGTGATACTTGAACATTTTATACACGCACATTTAAACATTAAGGATTTCACTTACATTTTATCAAGTATACGTAGTAGGTGTATTTATTCTGACGTACACGTAGGCGTACATAACGTTACAATTTATTTATTATATCACGTTACCATCGCATATATTATTTATTGTCATTTCTATACTTATGTAATCGTCTCGAATAAATCCGATGTTTTTGTATTGAACAGTCATTCGACTTTTATTCTCCCGACTTCGTCCAATGGTATCCTTAAACAACATTTCAGCTTAATTGCAAATTTCCTATTTATATGCAACACCAGACTTTAATAAATTGTATCAGGGTTTTATGAACCGTTCGCGCATTCGCCTTTAATCAGCTGACGATCGTTATCGATACTGTCCAGGCAGCTTGGTATTGGTGTGTTGCGAGATAATAACGAATTGGTGAAGCTGTGCAGGTTATCCACACAGAAGTATGTAATTAAACGGAAATAAAATAAAAATTTCATGGAAAAACAATAAAGCAATAAATTTCTTAATGAGAACAAATTTCCTTGGTCAGTACGGCACTTAAAAAGATAAAATTTAACTTTGTATAATAAGTTGCTGTGGAAAAATTAATTAATCCTTTATTCATAGATTTCAAATGTACTTTCGTTCCTATTATTCGATTCATGAAACGATTGAGTACTGTATCGATTAAATATAAGCTGTTAAATAATTTTCTCGATATTTTGTGATTCCCTGTGATTTACCATGTAACTGTTGTTACGAAGAATGTTTAATTAATATACAAAAAATTTATATAACATAGCTACACACATTGCAATTTTTTCCTATTTTCAATTTCCTATAATAAATATTTAATTAATTAATTTTATTTGGAGCAAGTTATAATTTCGTATTTATAATTATCGTAATTATCGTAATTAATATTATATTATTAGCAATAGTACAAATGATTCACGAGGATTAATTAAATTAGTGTAATACATTATTTTTAATATTCCCTTTGTCTTTTATACGTATTTAATTTTTGGCGATATAAAATATTATAGTAGATTCTTATATTTGGTACCTGTCAGGTTTTCTACTGAAATCTTTTGTTATCATTTTTCTTTAAGCCCTTCAGAGTCCTTTATCGACTAGAAAAGTACCCTGAATAACAGGTTCAGTATCAGGAGTGCACGAAGGATGGAAAAGTTTTTACCGATATTCATTACTATTTCCATACACACATAAACGTTCCCATGTAACGGTTTATTTTTAAAACAATTTTTCCAATGTAACAATTGTCAGTATCAAAGTATCGATACTTTCTATATGAAATTAAATAAACATATTCAGCCTAATGATATATCAAACGCTTATGTGATCACTTTTTTTTAAATAAATCAATTATGTTTTAATAAAAGTTGAACATATTGCATGGGATAAGACGTACAAGCACGAGAAAATGTCAAAAAAAAAAAAAAAAAATAATAACAGAATTCATAATTCCTATCTATAATAATGATAAAATTATTATAAAAAAGGAAGATCATCGCACAGGTTAAAAGAATTTCCAAATTAACTTACAGTCTTATTAATCATTGATGACATACAAAACGAACAATCTACATTCCGAGATTACATTTGATTCAATAAGTGCTTGATAAGCTGAAAGTACAAAGTCATTTGTGTCGCTAGCTGTACAGTAATTATCGTATTAATTTGAATCGTAAAAAAAACGAGTTTGGAAATATGTAATCTCTCCTAATTTATATAACTTGTTCGGAATTTCTCATAATGGACGACGACTTGAAATGTTCGTACGCAAATGTTCCTACTGTACGCAGTATTGTTTGTTTGCCCTGGATACTGATGTACGCAATCATACCCGGAATACCGTATGGCGTTAGTCTAATCTGATGTGAGAAGATCCAATTTTAGTCAGACAAATCCGACCGACCTGCTAATAATAGTATCGCCATATATGGCATATGTTTGATGAATTACGTAGGATTAGCGTCGACGTATAGTATGCGTACGTTAAGTTGAGACTTCATTCACTAGTTTTTATGCATATCATCTCAGACTAGCCTTTCGGGTTCCGTTGCGAAATTATTGACCGCTTTGACGTCAATTTTCTGCAGCGTCTGCTTTCGTATATACGTATTATTCTGCCGCGAATCTTGGTAATATATGGTGCAAGCTCCGCTTGAAAAAATCACTGCAGCCGATGCTTCGAATTTATATTTAATTTTCATTCACACGAGAGATCTTGTTTCTTTACGTCTTTGTTCCATTGAAATTAGGAAGCTTCTTCGTAAAATTTAGCAGATCGTTCGTATCGTATGTATTTTAAGAAAAACATGAATCGACTATTCGACAGTTGTATTAAGATCTTATTTAGGACGTATCAACGAGAGAATCATTTTTACAGACACGGATAATAATAATGTGAAGAACAGAAAATATTTTGCCAATGATTTGCCAATAGCACTGATAACGAGACTAATAACGAAGTTGCTGACAGCGCAAGAAAATTAGTTATAATAATAAAAGTAAATTTTACATATAAATTGCGCTCCAGATTGTATCTAGAGAAACGATAAACACTATCCCAAGGGAATTCATATAACGATATAAATAGCATAGCAGATTTATCAATGATTTACGAATAGGATTAATAATAAAACGAACATCATGATATTGGTGTGATACTGATATTAAGAGTTCGATTATTAAATGCACCAACACAAGAGAATAATTATAATGAATAGTAATATAATGAAAATTTTATTAATCAGTCAAAAATAGGATTACACCGACTCTAATACGAAAATTCTATTCAAGAAATGTATCGACACAAGAATGTTAATATATAAATTATTCATATACGTATATGTACGTAATATCAGTTTTATCAATAAAAATAGGTTAATTCGCGGTAAGATTTATGATCTAACATTAGCACCCGGTTTTTTTTACTAGCCTCGCTATTTGAATCACAATACAAACACCGGCATTTACGTCTGCGTAACCTGCACTGAGATTTCCGGAAGACCGCTGACGGAACCGCATCTACCTTCTTCCTTCCGATGCACTCGCCAACACTTCTACACGATCGATGACAGGTGTCGTTAAATTTTTCGGAGAAAATTGAAATGTCTACAGGCGTAGGCATCCGCAAATCCGCAATATGAACACGTCATGTAGATAAGTTTGACGAAAGATTAGCCGAGATTAGGAAGCCCTCGATTTATGTGACACATTAGCTTTTAAAACAAACTGTAGAATAATAAAAGAGATTCTATTCTCACGGTTATTAACTTTCATAATCGGACGATAGATTTCGATACTTGTAGTTTAATTTAACTTAGTTTCCTTTTACAACAACTTATCGTAACTCCTGAGCACGTAGGTGTCGTTAGCGACCAGATTATTTACACTGACATTAGACTCTACATGTACGTACGAGTTTTTTCACAGTTCAAAGTAATTAAAACTGGACTTTCTAAAATTTTTGAAATTTGAAAATACCAAAGCATCCGATTGATGCGTATGGTGTACGATCTCACCAATTGTCCCCGCTTCTTGTTTCGCTGAGTTAACGTAGAGGCTCGTATATTCGATTGAAATAAATAATTTTTCCATACTTCTGATTTTACGAAAGAAAAAAAAACAACAACGATAAAAGAATAATTTTATTCATGAAGCGAGGTAGCTCGTCATAGAGGAGGAACGTAAAAATCATAATTTGTAGGTCGGAATGCGATGACGAGGAAGCGATTACGTCGATTTTAACATTTGGTGATATGACACATCTAATCAGCTGCTACGTCGCGTCGCGCCGTATCTTATTACGGAATTATAAATATCAGAGAGTTTATTGCAATTCACACTATTTACCTCTATTACTATCGAACGTTACCGTAACGATTAGTTCGTGACTACAGATAGTTTCGCGACGAGAGTTACATG